ATCGAGATCATAATAGAGATTTGAAGGTGAATCGGAGATGGGATTAAAATTGGTGGAGATGGGATTGAAATGGGATAGCGAAAACGGAGGTTTTATAGAGAAGGAAAGGTGTTGGGCGGAGGTTGTTTGACCCTGTAGCCGCCATGTTTGGAACAGAGAGCTGGACGACAATGGCACGAACCTTCCTGTTGTTTTGGATAATCTTTTGGTGTTTTTAATTATTTATAAAATATTATTTATGGTTTGCAAAGGTTAAATATTTGTATTGTAACCTTATTTTCCAATTGATTCGATAAAAAATAAAATGTTAACTTGCAAACCAACTAAATTTTCGATTTTTTAAAAATTTTATGTTTGAGTTGGATAATTCGACTCGATCCAACTCTTAGATCATTTGATCGTTTATACCTCTGTGTCTATTTATAAATTTAAAAATCGGAAGTTAATATAACTAATTATATAATTTATAAAATATAGTATAGGTCAAAATCTACGATTGAATTAGAAATTAGAAACGTGTTTGGTTTGGTCAGAATATCAATTAATTTAATTCTTAAAAAAAAATAAAACCGTTAGTTGAAGGTTTCGTGTCTAAATTCTAATTCCCACGTGCGTGTTATAATAAAACAATAGTTTTTTCTTTTTGGGGAAAACAAATTAATTCCGTTTATTACTTTCTTTTCTTTTTTCCTTGAAGGTGTCGTGCCTAAATTCTAATTTCCACGTGGACGTTAGGGACATTACTTTATTTGGGATATGTTTTGAAACTTATATTTATTTCATTTCTGCCATCCCATTAAAATTTTCAAAAACTAATTAATAATTATAAAGACTAATTCGTAAAATAAGAAATTGAAAGATTTCGTCGAAATTGTTTGTTTGAAAATTTATCGAAAAGCTAATTATAGATTCTTCTCTCCATTGGAATAATAGGGCCGTTATGCTCATTATTAGACTTGTTGAGGAGATGAAATCTCAGATGTGTCGATATCGACGGTGACTCATTATTTCAATGAATCATTTCTTCGGACGAGTCCATAAGAAATGATCCTCTTTTTTTCTCTATTTTCCTTTTGAATTAAGTATAAAAAAAGGAAAACGAGTCAATAAGAAGAGATATGGATTACGGACTAGGAAAAAAACATGCTCCTTAAAGAGAAGAGTTCAACTCGCTGTTGGATATAGAGCCTGATGCCTAGAGTAGAGATATATTTAAAACATATTTCGTAAAGATCGATATATATGAGGGTAAATATTTGGTAAAGATTTGATAGAGATATATTTATATAAATCTTTAGAAACAATATTTAGTAAATTGAAACTATATAAATACTCCAATAGTCAGTGCTCAAAATGTGTTTTTCTTCATTTAATGTATTTTCTCTGGTTGTATGTCTGAAGTCATCAATAAAACTTTTAGCCAATATTCTTCTTTGAATTTTCTATATGTACGTTGTTGAGCGATCCTAACAACTGATATCAATCCTAACACTCGTCTCGAGTCTAGTTGGTATTGGACCCATTATTGTCTCATTTTTATCTACTCACACGATAGTTCCCACTCGGTAATTATATATTTCTTTTATAAAAAGTAAAGTAGATGGCAGCTTTTAATTAATAATCAATGCATTATGAAGGTATCGTAGACTATACTCTATAGACTGCCATTTGGTCCAAATAAAAACGTCAACTCAGCTTTTATTAAAAACTTATATCAATATTATACCACGCCTTTTATATCAACAATTGTCGCTTTGGCCGAGTGGTTAAGGCGTGTGCCTGCTAAGTACATGGGGTTTCCCCGCGAGAGTTCGAATCTCTCAGGCGACGTTTCTTTTTTTTTTTTTTTTTTCTCATTTTGTTTTTATAATTAAGTCTATCGTTTTCTTATGTTGCAAACGTATTTCTCTTAATAGATATTTTTAATTTTAATATTATTTTAAATTCATAATAAACAACTTCCATAATTCATAGCCAAATTCAATTGCATTATGAACCATTTGAAGATGATGCAAGGATTTTACATGGTCATTGTAAGAGCTTCCAAGAGTCTAAATACGGAGTGGTTGAAAGTTATGTTTATTTAATTTAATACATATAACTTTCAAAATATTCCTTTTTTAATTCTTTTTAAATTTCCTAATTATTATAATTTAATTACAATAATTCAACCTTTAAATGAAGTTCAACCACTTTTTTAGTTTTATTTAATGTCGAAAATTTTAAAGTGAAATTTTGTGAAACAAATAAAGATATAAGATATTTTTTCTGAAATAGCTATCTTGTAGATTTTAGTTCATTAACATATTAACAATATATATATATATATTTTTTAATTTTGTAATTAAAATAAGATGAATATTGATGTAACGACAAGTATAAAAATTATGTAATTATTTACAATATTATGTACTTATATATTGAAAAGACAATTAAAAAATTAAAATGAATGTTTATATTTTTCTCTATTTATAAATAATATCAGTCTTCTATAATATTTTTCCGTAAGTTACTACGCCCAATTTTATCCATTATTATGAAGAAAAAAAAATATTTAAAATATATTTCAAACTTTAAATTAGTTATTAATGGAAAAAATTCAAAATTTAAGAATAAAACAAAATTTTAAAATATGATTTGTGATTTTTTTTGGGCGTATAATTTAGCCTAAAAAGAATGGTCCTAAATTAAGAAAAATCAAATGGATGCGTCTGCGATTTTCTGAGGCCTGGAGAAGCCTGTTTCGATGGACCAGTGGGTGAGCCCATGCCTCGATTTCAATCGGAAAAAACGGAAAATCGCTAACGAACAAACAAACACCGATACAAATTCTAGAATAAATTGCCCCAAAAAGAAGAGCAAACAAAACTCCAGCAAACGTTTATTTTCTCCATTTTACATTGTTCCTAGATATTGATCCTGTTCGTTCTTCATCTGCTCGTTTTTCTCTCCACAGGTTTAAATCTGAATCGCTCTTTCCATCATAAACGGCGAATCAGGATCTATTTTATTGTGGAATCAGATTCAAACATGTTCATATAGATAACAGAAATTTAAAGAAAAAAGGAGTAAAAAAGAAACGGAAGCGGCAAACCTAGCAATCGCGATCAGGCCGACGATTGAGCGAGCTTTGAAGCCTCCAGATCTGCGGCTTGCTTGAGGAAACTCTGATCGCCGTCATCGAGCGCCATTTGAATCGGAGACGAGCCTAATCCATCGGCGATTGCGAGCAAAATGTTCTTCATCTCCGTCCGAAACTCTTCTGCATCGACGGTGCCGCTTTTGTCGCAATCAAACTTCTCGAAGATCGAATCGTAGAGTTGAGTGAGTTTCTCCGGCGGAGTGACGACGTCGACGCCGAAGTGAGTCTCGATCAGGCGGAGTGTCTCGAAGGCCTTGCGGAGTTCGGATCGAGACAGAACGCCGTCGTTGTTGAGATCCAGAGCGGCGAAGGCTTCGTCCACGCTCTTCTTGAAGTGAGATTCGTCGTTCACGAAGTTTCGCACCGTCGATCCGTCGATTACGACCACGGCCATTCCTCTTTCTGTGTGTTGATTGTTCTCTCCACCGGTGTGTGAGTGGTGGTAAGTCGGTGACTCGGTCGTGAGATATACTTTGAAATTAGTCTCTTACGTTTTTATATATAACCCTAGAGTGGGGACCACAAGAGAATTGTGATAAAAAGGACAATTCCGCTATATATATATATTTTTTATTATTAGTAACTTGAAAACAAAACTATCAGCTCACGTGGTTTCCCTAATATCTAGGGACTATTTTTTAAAAAAGAAAAAAAAAAAATTTAAGCTTTCTATTTATTTTTTCTTTTAATCTTTTTGTTTTGAACGTCTTTTGACCTATTAGACATTAATTAAATATATATATATTTTTAAATACAAAATTAAAAACTTTAATAATATTTGTGAAATAATTTTTTTTTTTTTTGATAACATAGAATTTGACCATTTTTTTAAGAATAAATTACACCATTAATAATGAACGACCATAAAACTGAATTACTTGGGATACTTGTGCCCATAAGAAATCGCGAAGCCACCCATTAATAGTTATGGAACTCTGATTTCCTCCCCGTGATATGAGTTACTACCCCTTGATCACCTTCCTCCCGGTAATGAGTTACTACCCTTGATCACTTACACTACCCCAAACAATTGACTGCATAATAGGAGTTACTACCCCTTGATCACTTACACTACCTCAAACAATTGACTGCATTTTCCAACTGAAACGGAATATTACTATCATGTACCCCCTCTTTCCGGTCCATCACAAAGGAAACGAAAACCAAGATTTGCTTAAATGCATAAATATGATGTACCAAAAAATCTGCTGAGGTAACAAAACAAACTTTTAGATTTCACTATTTTAATCTCAGATTCCATTTGAGGCTTTAAACTTTCTATCACTATTTGAATTCTTACATATTTTAAAAATAATTATGGGTTTTAATACATGAAGATATATAATTTAATTTAAGCTAGGTTATAAATTTGTTAAAATTTAAATAAATGTAAGGATGAAAATGATTATATTTTAAAACATTATAATAAAAAAAAATCATTCCCTATCCTATTTTGAAATATTTTTATAATATGCCAATACCATTTATTAAGAATAAATGATTTGTCAAAAAAAAAAAAAAAAAAAAAAAAGAATTTTGGGAATAGAAAGGTTGCACACCACCTGTTTGTATAAAGGTGTGAAAGAAGTAGAAGTGAGGGGGCGTGGCGCGGAGCTTTGTGCACATAGGCCGTGTCGGGCGGCACTGGACGTGACGCGCACGCCTACATGTCCGCCCCTTCCTTTTCGCTCTTGCTGCGCTCACTTCCACGCTGTGGCCAAAACACTATAGAGCATCTTCTTAAAAAACATCACATTTCCATAACATTCATAATTCTTATTTCGTTTGTAGATTTGTATCTATTTGGTCGAAATGATTTAAAATATTTAATTTATCATAGCGACAAAGTGGTGCTTATTTTATGATACACTCTTTAATGTACAAGACATGCTTCAAAAATTCGAAATTAAAAACAAAATAAAAAGAAAAAAAACAAGAATGACAAGCACAAAGTCAAATCCCTCTTCTTCCAGATTCAGACTTAGTCAACGACCGAAGTCTGACCAAAAAATTCACTTTCTTCCCCGGCGTCTGCCCTTCTTTCCTCCTCTTCCCCACATGTTTTCCCGGCGAGGAATCCCAATTCTCCGGCGAACCCACCCCCAGAACGCTCTCCGGCGATCTCATCACCATTTCTTCATAGTCCGCCCCCTCCTCTCCACCTCCGCCAGCTAAAACTCTCGCCTGCAAAGCGGCGACAACCTCCCTCATCGCCACGTCAACATCCCGGTGATTCCTCAGCAAAATCTCCCCAATCTGCGCCGGCGTCAGGCCGCCGCCGGACCTTATACAGTTATCAACGACGTCAAAGAGCGCGTGAGACTCAATCTCCAAATAGTTCCTCACAAGTGTCCGAAACGCTGCTGGCCCGCACATGCCGAGGCTCACGTGCACATCCATCCGGCCACACCGGACCAACGCCGGATCAATTTTCTCCTTGTAATTCGTCGTGAAAACGACGATCCTTTCTTCCCCACAGCACGACCAAAGCCCATCTGTGAAATTCAAAAGCCCCGACAACGTCACGCGCCCCACCTCTTCCTCGTGATCCCCACGCGCCGCAGCCTTCGAACTCCGATCCGCCGTCAGATCAACAGAACAATCAATATCCTCTATAGCAATCACCGACCGGTTGGTCGTCTGAATAAGAAGCGACCGAAGCTCAGAATTATCAGAAACCTTGGTCAATTCCAAATCGTACACATCATAACAGAAGAAATTCGCCATTGCTGCAATCAAGCTCGATTTCCCAGACCCAGGAGGTCCATAAAGCAAATACCCACGTTTCCACGCGCGGCCGACACTACCGTAAAACTCCCTGCCAGCGGCGAACTCAGTCAAATCATCCACAATCTGTTTTTTCAGCTCTGTTTCGAGCGCCAGAGTATCAAAAGTGGAAGGATGTCGAAACGGGACAGAGACCCAGCTAGAATCGTAAGAACTGGCATTGCCATTGTTGGTGAAGAGCCGCCGTTCACGAGAGGTCCGTTCGAATTCCGCCGCCGTGGAGGTGACGTGATCGAGATACAGAGGGAGGAGGGAATGGCAGTGGCGTTTGGGGATTCTGAGAGAGAAGCTTCGTTTCTCATCCAATGAATCCTGAAGGGTGTCGACGTGGTGGGTCCAGGAAATTCGTTGGCCTTTAAAGGTGTCGTGAACAGAGTGATTTGGAGCGACGGTGAAGGAGATTGTGGTGGAGGATTTGAAGCGGGAGAGGGAGAGACGGCGGCAGGCGGGGGAGTTGTGGAGGGAGTTGAGGTAGAGGGTGGCGTGACGGTAGAGTTGGTTGAGGTCGAGGGAGGAGTAGGCGTTGAATTCAGGGATGTGGTAATAGGAGTAAGGGGTGAAGAAATCTTGAAGGGATTCGTAAAGGGAATGGAGAAGAGAGAGGAATTGGGAAGGGAGGATGTTTTGGAGGAGTGTGATAAGGCCTAGCAATGACCATAATTGAGACAGGATCTCCATGAAGATGATGATGATGGCGGGTTTGGCTTGGGAGAGGGGATGAGTTTTAAAACAGACAATTACTCTGGTTTTAATTTGAAAGATAAAACAAAGTACATCATACGTTCTCGAGTCCATGGCTAAGTTAAAAGCACGACTCTAATAAACAAACCTTCTTTATTTGACATTTGAGAATTCTATTAACATGACTAATAAGTTAAGTCAAATGAGTGAGTCACTTTTGCTTTTGTGGTGCACCAGGCCGCTCACATGCTTTATGTTTTCCATCTCTTCCCTATTTCTTTCTTTCTTTCACATCTCGCCTTCACTTTTTTGACCATTTAATCAAATGTAATTTTACCTTAAAAATTTGAAGAAAAAAAAAATCTTATGGTTGGTATGAAAATCTTTTAATACTTCTATTCCTTTCAAAAATATTTTTTTAAAAGTTTATTCATTTTAAAATTTTTAAAAAGGTTTAAAAATACTTTTACAGGAAAAAAAAAAAACTCTTTGTCTTTTACCGAGTTCAAGAAGAATAGTTCGGATTACAGTCGAGTAAATTCATTCAATGAAAGAGAAGCTCGTGAACAGGAAGGACTCCGAAGAAGAAGGTTTGGATCTTTCAATCTTATGTCATGAGGGATGTGGTTCAATCTGGTTCTAGAGTTCAATTAAGTTCGGGTTCCGGATTTCATAGGTGCAACTTCAATGTTCTCTTGCATATATATATGAAGGAATGGTTGGTTTTCCTCTGTATTTGTATTGTTTGTAACTGTCTTGTACGTTTTAAATGTTTATAGAATTTTTAAACATTAATAATTGGTTATATAACTAAGTTAAAAAATATTTTTAAAAAATTAATATATTTTTGGAGTTGTAAAAAATATTAATTTTAAAACCCTAAATATTAACCGTTTCCAAACGTGCATTTTTTAATTTTTTTTAAAAATTTAATGATATTTTTAAATTTTTATTTGAAAGTTAAAAATATTATTCAAACTATTAGAAATGGAAAGATATTTTAGTTTTTGGGTAAAATAATTAATAGCAAATTGTTTTTATTCATTAGAGGGCTTTTACTTTTGTTAAGCAAACTTTGTATGTTTGTATTCCTTTTGTGTTTACCCTTTTTTTAGCTCATTTAACTTTTGTTTTTTTTTTTTTTGGTTTAAAAATGGTTGAAAATTGAAAAAGAAAAAGCTTAAAGTGCAATTGATAGAGACAAAAAAGAAAAGAGATTATTGGGGTCGGGAACCAAAAGTCATGAACATCGTTCCATCAAAATTTAGTACATAAAACAATCAAACAAAATATGATCAATTTGTTGAGGATCGAGGATTATTGAGAGTGAGTTTCACATTGGTTAATTTAGTGGAAGATTATGGGTTTATAAGCGAGAAATATTATCTTCATTGGTATAAGACGTTATGGGGAAGTCCAAAGTAAAGCCATGATTGTAAATATAAATGATTGTAATTCTTCTTGGATATTCAAGCTAATAACATGATGTTGAATAACAAAACGCTTAAATCTAAAATATTTAAGAACCTCGAAATAATAAGGAATCAACTTAAACAGGGAAGTAAACAATAAATAATCCATTCAAGGGAAAATAAGATCTTGATTATCTTATTAATCAAATGTCTCAATACAAGAAAATTTGTTTGAGGTTTGAATCACACGAACTTTTGAGATGTACCGATCTTAGTGTACTTACCTAGTAAATCATAATTAATGATTTTGTTATTCACGTACACTCTCCAAGCGGAGAGTATTAGAATATATTTTATATAGCCGTAGTCAATTAGAATTTTATATTTGATATATTTTATCTTATCTTTATGATTTTGTTAGTAAAATATTTTCTCATATTTTTTATGATTTAGTTTGTAGTTTGTATTCTATTTAAATGTTGTTAACAAAATTACACTTTAGATTCCACTAGAACTTTTGATCCCATCTATGCTTCTCGGACTTTCAATCCCACATTTGTTTTTCATTCTTAACACAGTATAGAGAGCTTCTCATTCTTAACATGATATCAAAGCATCATTTTTAACAAATACATTAAATTATAATGCATCAAACAAAATAAAGTTGATTCTCGATTCCAGAGAAGTTAAATTAAATTCAACGTTTTAAATGTTGGAGGAATGAATTATTAAAATATTTAATTGAAAAACAAACATTAAACCTTTTAGAAAATTTTAAAATTATAAAAAAAAATATATTAATGGTATTTTGTTGTTATTTTATATTTCTTTTCTCTATGATATAAGGAAAATTTTAATTTTCCTCTTAAAGTAAACATCTTGAAAAAAAAAAAAAAAGGACAACCTTAATTTTAGATTTTTACATTTCAAATAAATTTGTAGTCCACGTAAAATAAATATAGGTTAAATTTTAAAGATGGGAGAATAAATTTAAAGGAGAAAATAAAACAAAAAGAAACTGAAAAATGGCGTCGCCCGGATTCGAACCGGAGACCTTCAGTGTGTTAGACTGACGTGATAACCAACTACACCACGACACCGGATGTTGGTAAACGCACCTAACATTTTTTATAGTAGTATTTAACAAAAGATTGGTTGTTGAAAATTGAAAAATAATTTTAAATGGTCCCTAAAATCACCTTTTTATTATTACACTAACCATTAATATCGTCATAAAAACATGCATTGTTGTTGTGGATTTGTCTAACGTGTACAACCTCAAAATATATGCTAAGTTAAGCGACGTTGCCGCACACCAAAGTAGTACTCATTATACACCCGCTATGCTACCTATGCTAAACTAGTTTTTCATTGGCGTAACAAGAATTCATGTTGAGCGTAGTTGGACGAAACCTTCTTAGAGTTTTTAATTTGATCCATGTGGAGTGGAACCATATCGAGCTTGGGTCTTAGCCATTTAGGTCTAGTTCATTTGGGCTTTATTGACCTACGCGAGATTGAGTTTCAACCATGCTAGGGCTCGTTGGCCTTGGCTTGGTCGGCCTCAAACAAGGCCCAACTTACATGTTGAGTCTTGACTTTTGAAACTTTTCTCTTCACGACTTTTTCGTAACTTTTCTCTTCACGACTTTTTCGTAGTCTTCATGAATTACGTTGTGTCTTACTCAGAGCCAGATGTGATAAAATACATAGTTAATCACACAAATTCCTAAATTTTATAATTTGGGCGTTATAGTCCAAACTTTTAAAAGTTTTATTAATATTTAATTTTTTTTAAGTTAAAAAATATATTTAGGTTTAAAAAAATACTCATGAATTTTAAAAGTAGCATTAATATCCTTTACTTTTCTGAAAAAAGAGTTTAAAAAAGTTATTAGCGACAATATACCGATAAAAATGGTCTATCAACAACGCATTGGTTATTGTTAAGGATATTTAGTATTAAAGTATAGTTTACCATATATATTGATATTTTATTACGAGGCAAATATGATATTTACCCTCTTACCAGAAATATCTTTCCCTTTATTGTTATTTCTATTTATTACTGTTTTCGTATTCTTTTAATTTATTCGATTATAAATAGATAACTTTCACACTAGTGGGGTGAATTTAGCAAATATTCTCAGTTATTTACAAACGTTTTAATATTACTTTGAAAAGTTTTATAAATATTTTTTTAAATGTGGTACTAAAGATAAAATTATTTTTTAAGTTTTAAAAAAAAGTTTATACAGTATCTTGGAAAAATTTCTTTGGTATAAAAAGTTTAAAGGTATGAACAATATTTTCGAAATAATTGATTGTATTTTTAAACAAGATATTAACGATTCGATAGAAAATTTGATAAATTATAGTATATAAAAGTTTTTAAAAAAATGAACATTAAATATTTAAATGAAGAAATATGTGGATATTAAAATTAAAATATGAAAATATTAATAAAAATATAAAATGAACGAAAATTTACTATATTTGATGGGAGGGGGGAATCCAAATTGAATGAGCTAAACGCGTCGCTATAATTGGAAGGTACAACCGACGAAGTGGCAATTGGAAAAAGGTAAAATCCAAAATATAAAAAATGATTGTCTGTTCATAAATGAAACGTCAAAAATCAAAGAGTGATCCAAAAAGAAGATAAATTGGGTGTGAGGTATCCACCTATCCATCTCCAATGGCGGATATTTCCACACTCTCCTTACTCCCTACCCTTTTCTCTCATTCTGAGCTCAAAATGTTCTCCCATTTGGGTTCTTCCCTCTAACCCCTTTTGATTTTCTTTTCCTTCCTCTCTCAATTTTTGCTTCTGGGTTTCCGATTTCCTTGCTCTCAGTCACTATGGCTGTGGCTATGGCTTCTTGGACCTCTGGGCTTCACTCCAATCGCAGTTCTTGGACCCTCAAATACTCTGAACCCCGTTTTGCTAATGGGGTTTTCACCAAGGGTTCCATCGCTTTTCAGACTAAATGTTTCTGCCTACTTCAGAGTAGAAGGTATGGCTATCAATTGCTTGATTTGGCGTCTTTCTGCTTACTTTTATCATACCCTTCTCAATTAGTTGAAGATTGTTATGATTTCTTTCAGTTTGAAAAATGTGTATCTGGGTTTCTTCCTGGATTTAGATTACATGGTTCAATTTAGTTTCCTGCTTGAGGGTTGCTTTTATTCCGGTTCCTATGGAGACATTTCTGTTGTAAGTTGTCATGGAGATGTATTGTCCTAACTCTCTGATTTAGTTCATAACTCTTTTGGTTCATATTCTCATTTATTTTGGTTCATAACTCTCGTTTAGTTCATAATCCTTTTGGTTCGTAGTCTCATTTAATTGATTCATGTGTGAGAAATAGTATTGCTACGCCTAGGCTTGTCTAGCCTTGTTTTGAAATGTGTACTCATTGCTATTTTGTATTTGCTGGTGACTCCACGGGGAATATCAGCCTCAAATCTATGGTTTTTGGTTCTCACTTGACTTTGAAAATGAACCAACATTCCCATTGTTCTTGTTTCCTTTGTTCAAAATCGAATAGGTAGGAATTTAGGGTTCGCCTATTTGAAATAAGC